AAGAAAACTTCCCCCCTAAGTTGATGCTACTGGTGACAGTCCAGGGAAAGCTGGTTCAGAGACCCTTGGACTCTGGCTGCAGCCAGATAATGATCCAGGCTTCCATTGTGGGGAAAAATGCCACTCCCAAGAACAGTGATAGAAATGTAGCCGTGTAAAGCTCATCATCTAATAAACCATCTTGTTAGTCTTTAAAGTGCTACATTGTCCTGCATTTTGCTTCAACTCCCAAGAACATGATCCAGGTTCAGTGTGTGTATAGTTATTCAAGATCTACACTAGCTAGCAGCTACAGTTGTTGGTGGGAGTCCATACTGTGATTGTAGGCTCAGATTGGCCTTTTTTTCTGGCAGGCCATTAACAGACAGCTTGAGAATACAAACAGGAACAGGGACCAAGTGACAGAGCTTGGTAAACCTTGGAGAAGCCAATGTCCCCGGGGTAGGTACATCTCAAGCAACATAGCCACAGATCTATTTGGGGAGCAAGAGACAGCCCACCAGGACCTGAAAGCCCTCCTATGGAACAGGAATTATGTGATGGAATAAAGGAAATAGGCTAAATGACTCTACATTAAGCTATCCTTACAAGTAACTGGCCCCCATACATGGAAAAGTGGCAGTCTGAGAGGTAGTCACTACACACTTCGCATTCAAGAAGAAGCACTTGTATTGTAAAGAGAAGAGTCAAATGGGGGTGTTATGGAACCAGCTGCTAGTTATGCACTGCTACTACTGGGCTGTGTTGCAGCTGGCACATGACATCCCTGGCAGGAGACATGGAGAGAAAAAAAGACATTGGCTCAGATATTAGCTTGATTCTACTGGCCAAGCATACACCATGAAATGAGAGAACATTTTCCTCCTGCCCAGAATTTCAACTAACAGCCAAGAATTCCAAGGTACCCTCATTTCCTCTGCCCTTGATGAAGATCCTCTTAGAAAAAATCAGGTTTGACATGGTTGGACCTCTAGGAAAAAGACATAGTGGGTCACCAGTATATACTAATGATTGTAGACTACACAACCAGGCCATTCCTTTCAGCTCCCCAAAAGCAAGAGCTATAGTTCCAGAGATCTTAAAGCTTTTCTCACAAATAGGATTGCCACATAAAACATTGATGGGCCAAAGGACTAACTTCACTTCCCAACTGATGCAGGAATTATGCTCCCTTCTCACGGTCAAGTTCCAGAAGACCCTTCTCACGGTCAAGTTCCAACAGACTGACAGTTGAGAAGAATATAAGAAGACCGTGAAGGGATTTTCAAGTTCTTTGTTAGGCTATGTCTAGGCTATGGCTTTTGCTGGCAGAGAGTATGCAAATGAAGCACTGATTAGCATTTTGTCATGCTTCATTTGCATAATCTATTCTGATCCATTTTTGGCAAAAGCCGTAGAGTAGACGAAGCCCATGAGTCAACCACAAGCAGTGGAACTGACTATTCCCACTGATCCTATTTGCCATAAAGGAGACCTCACAAGCATCTATGGGTTTTCCCCATTTAAGTTTTTCTACTATCACCCACATCACAGGCATCTTGAGCCTGCTGCAGGAATGTTGGGAAGAACAAGTTGAGAGGAAACTGAAGCAGTACCCAATATATCCTTCAGTTAAGGGAACATCTAAAAAATAGGGGGATGCTCTCCTGGGAGAATTTAAGAAGAACAAGCACATCCAGGAACAGAATTATAATAAGGGCGCACAGCTACAATCTTTACAGCTGGGTGCCTGGTGTTTTACTTGTGATGGTTCCACACACCACCATGCTTTAGGAAAATTGGCTTATGAACATAAATATGCATAACTCAGAGATGCTTTAGACAAAATATTTCATGTAACCTATCAGTTTTAATGCTACAATCTGCTGGAGCCGTATATCCTATTTTGTTGCATGTAGTAAGTTGGAAATATGAAGTATGAAACTGTTTATAGTTTTAAATGTGCTAATGAGAGCCATTACTGCTGCCCTAGATGCCATAACAACTTTGTGATCAACTTAATGACTTGTAATAGCTGTGTTTGTGCTTTAAATCTAAACAGTGGTTGGTCCTAGGAAGACATGTGACTATAGTACCTGATACTGGGATTCTGTTTTGACCTTGGTAGTTTTCCATGGAAGGGGAGAGTGATGTAGAACAAAAGGTTCCCTCCTCGGCAAAAGACTACAGTAATTCCTCATTTAACATGTGCCCGCTTAACACGTTTTCATGATAGCACGATTTTTTTTTTTTTAGGGAACGGTTTTTGAATTACACAACCGTCCCCGGAATAACACAATTTCCCCAGCTGGCCTGTTGCCGGCGGCTGTGCGGGCCTTCCCCCACTTCCCTGCAAAGTGGCGTAAGGTCCACCGCTCACCACGCTGTTCCTTGGTGACCCTCCTTGCTGGACGCAGTGTGGGTCCCAGCAGACCTGTCACAGGGGCATACTCCCAACCCAATCCCTCACCTCTTTCCTCCCCTTCTCTTCCCCAGAGCCAAACACCTCCCCTCCCTGCTGTAACCCAGACCCCTTTCTCTCCCAACCTTATGTCCCTGTCCCAACAGACACCTCTGCTTGAAACGCAACCCCCACCTTTTCCATTATTTTCAATGGGAAAACTGACCCTGCGTAACACGTTTTCACTTAACACAATCATTTTCTGAAAATATCTATAGTCTTAAATGAGGAATTATGTACTTAAGCAATCGGAAGCCATCAGCCCTTTGTTTTCAGCTGGATTGGAAAACACTGAAATGATGCAAAGGACAGAATAAAAGGGTCTCTGGCCTGAAGATTATGCCTATAACAAGAACTACTCATTAGGGTAAAAATCTGTCTGCATTAAGGTGTGAGGGTTTTTTTTTTCTCTCGTGTCCTCCAAGATTTCATAAAGTTCACATGGTAAATCTTGGTTTCTTCCTTCTCCTGAATAGTCTGATCTCACAGTCCAGAGGTCTCATCTCCTTGATCACTTTGAATGTACCCTACCATTGACCCATTAATTTTGAATTTGTAGAGGTCATTAGTACTGTGATGGGATGCAGTTACAGAAGACCTCCTGGGTTTGTTCCCTGGTGTGCTGATCACCTCGTGGAATGAGGTGTAACAGTTAACTCGAACTAAGGACTTAGTTCGAGTTAACATTTGACTACCGCGTGTAGCTGTGGGCAGTTAGTTCGGACTAAGGGGATTTAAAAATGGCGCCTGGGTGAAAAGATGCAAATAAAGCCCGGGATATTCATTTGAAACTTTGAATGCCTACATTAGCCTCCCTACTTCGAATTCGGGGGCTAGTGTAGATATACCCCCAGACTGCACTGGGCCCCACAGGAGTTGCTATGAATCTTTCAATGGACAGGATGGCTCTGAGCTTGGGTTCTGAATTGTAGAGCTTTCTTTTACTTTGGCCAGTGCATTCCCTGACCCTCTCCTGCCCAAAATTTCATGTGTGTCCCGCTTGAGTCTTTTTCCTGTTAGTTCTTTTACAGCCTCCTGTTTGTCACCCCGTCTCTTTGTTCTTCTTGGTGGGGAGGAATTTCCACACTCCAATCTCCCAGCCCTCTGTTGAGGAAAATTTGAGAGAACTGGTTTCCCCTAGGATACAGTTACTCTTCTGTTTTCCCCAGGCAAGGCAAACAGATGTTTGGCTAGGACTCAATAGTTTATTTTTGTCCCTGGTTTGGGAGACACACAGTTCACGGTTTGTTAGCAATGGTGCGCATACAGAGAGGCCATCCGTGACATAAAGTTATGAAATTTCTGTAATATCATCCAGAATTAATAAATTGTAGACTGAAACACAAATACAAAGCATATTTCACAGCAGCAAGGTTGTTACCATTCCTGACTATATTAACTTCAAACTCTAATGAATATTCCTTCTATCAAAAATTTCCTTTATAAAGTGAAAAGTAGATTCTTTACTTTCTCTTCTATAAACCAAAACTCTTGTGTAGTATAATTGTTGAAGAATAACTGCTTTGTTCTACTCAAGAGGTGGCTGCATTTTTGTGAGTGAGTCATTCTATGCTATTTTCTGTGGTGATTGACCTCCTGTGTAGCCCTAATCGAGTCAATCTGCCTGTGTCAGGCATAAATACCCCCAAAATAAAGATCTCGCTCTATAGATCTGTTCTGATTTGATTAAATGAGTGAGTGGGATTGTATAATTTGTCACAGAGTCTGTTACATGCTTTTGGATATTTAAAGATAAAAGATGTTATATAACATTTTCTTAGTTATTCAAATTTAACATTCCTTAGAGGAGAGCTAGTATTACAACTTTTCCACTTATACCATCAGTTCTGATCAAAAGCAACAACGAACATTATTTTATAATAAACTCAATTTCACTATAATTCTTCCACTTAAATGTCTGTGTTCTCTTCATAGTTACAACTTTCAGACTAGATTTTCAAATAGCTGATCAGTATAGTCAGGGACTTGGATGTCCAAGTCCTACATTGGGCATACTCTTAATAGTGGGTGCAAAATTGTCTATAAAACCATTATTACAAAAAGGGCTATAAATGCTGTTCTTAAAGACACACACAGCACAAATACTACTTAGAATTTGGAAGTACTATGGGAAGTTGTCTGAGGAAGTGGGTCTGGCCCACGAAAGCTCATCATCTAATAAACCATCTTGTTAGTCTTTAAAGTGCTACATAGTCCTGTATTTTGTGTTGGTTTCCTTCATGCGGTCTAGAAAAGTGTTTCCAAAGGGGTTTCTCTGCTTCTCCTTTCAAAAACTGACAGCAACAATACCATATTGCAGTCAACATGAAAGTGGCTCCAGGTGTTACAGGTGATACAGGCAGTGTTAGGGTCTGGCATAGTGGGAATTAGTTCACACTGTATTTTTAGAAGTACCTGATGTGGTGTTCCTACCAAGCATGCTCTCTTGCTCTCTTCCCTCCTCCCCTCCCCCTTTTTCTGTCTGTCTCCTTCTCTGAATAATTTGGCCAGCGCTTGCAGAAGGCTGTTCTAGCCCCAGGGATTCTCACACATACTTCTATTGACAGAGTCCTTGTGCAGCAAGCAAGCTGAAAACCCTTTTGTTAAGGATCTATTCACTTCTTTTTCTACTCTGCCCCAAGATTTGGAGGATCATTCTGTCTACAGAGTTCCTGTTGTTACACTTACGGAAATTAACTGACTTCAAAAAATGGGGTTGTTTTACAAAACAGGTAAACATATCCTCCATACCAGAAGTATTCCTTAATCGCCTAGTTTGTACTGGTGTATGTTTCTCATAGCTTTTTGTTTCATTTGTGTAGGAAAGATTGTTTCCAAGTGAATAGGAGCCCTTAAGCAAAGTTACTGTAAAATGGAAACAAACATACAAGGCAGTTTGGGGGTTAAAGCCAGTTATTTAAAAATGAGATGTGTGCTAATGCAACATAGGTCAGTGATTGTTTCATTACTTTAGTTTGTCAGTTCAGGTCTCAAGTGGTTTAATGAAAGATAAAGAAATTCCACACATTCACATACTCTGTCAACTTTTTCACATGACAACTTTGCTGAAAATGAAACACTAAAGTGCACCAATTTAGCCAATGCCTGCCAAGATAGCTATTATTTTAGTCACCCTATAAAAAAGTAAGCTCGATTCCAATGCATTTGCCCCAGAAAATAATTAACTTTATGAAATAAAGAAAATGCAGTATGGAAACTCTCTATAAGAAGTTTTTGTAGATTTTCACCTGCTGGTGGCTAAACCTAATATGTGCACTGGTTATGGTCTCCATCCAAAATTTGACGGACTTGAAAGAGAGTTTTGGGTGTGCAAGGAAAACAGGATCAGGACAATATATCATCATGACTTTGACTGTATGTATGCATGCATGTATGTACACATTGGCAGGCATCAGATTGCAAGACATTTAATATTCTTTAGTATTCTAATTGTGCTATTAAAAATATCTACTGAGTGTAATGTTCATTTGTATGAAGCTTTCTTTAGAAAATAAAATTGAGGCTGCCAGTATAAATTTCTTATGTATGTAATGAATAGTACATGTTCTTATGCTTATTGTAATATTGTATTGCACTTTTTACCTCTCATAATGCTTCTTTTGTGATTTTTCTTATACTGTTTTGGAGGCCGTCTTAGTTTGATTCCAGTTATTTCGAAGTAAGTCTAGCTGAGAACATTTGAGGGAGTGTCTGTTTTGTTTTCTCCTGGATTAAAAGAAAACAAATATGTCGTTAAGGTTTCTATTTCACTACAAAAATTTTACCTACATTAGTGCATGGTAATTAACTAGCATTAGAATACAGACCAAGTATGGTCAAGTTCATGTCTTCAATCATCAGGATTTAAAGACCTTTTCCATCACATTTACTACTACATTTTAGAACCTGTAAGTGCAGATATTCGTACCTTTATTACTAATTCTGCAGTCTTGCCAATCCGTGTTGCAGACCCTTTTATGTGAATGACTAAAGAAAAAGAATTTACATTGATTCACGCCTGAATTTTCAGAGATCAGTGTGTTATTAAGATCCTGCCATGGGGCCTTCTAAATCCATACCCCTGACGAATATGACCAATGTTTAACCTATACATTTCTACATGTGTGTCCTCACCTACATGTATAGTAAAATCTGCCTTAGAGACCACCTCTGAAGAGAAACAATCTGTCACAAGCAACTACTTGCAGAGGCCACTTCTTACAAGCAACCACTTTTTGCTAACTCCCATGCAAAGGCCACGGGTAGAAGGGGCACAGCGGATCAAGTGACACCCTGATCCACCAGATCAAGTGCCCCAGCCAGCCTGGGTGGTGAGAAAAAAGGGCAGGACCAGAGCCAGAAGGGAAGAGGCAGGGCCAGAGGAGCCTATCCTCTTCCAGCCATACTGGAATGTGATACTTCCTGGCAGTGGCGAATATAGGGCAGGGCGAGCCCCGGGCCCCATGGTGGCTACGTGGGACCCAAACGGCCGCTTGCGCTTCTTGCTCCCACGTGGCGGCCTGGCTGAGAGGCACAGAACTCAGCCGAGCACCATGGCAGGAGGCAAAGGGCGTGACAGAGGTGCCAGATCCCGACCCCTGGTCGTGTACATCATCATTCTGCCCCACTTCACCTCCCGTCGTGGCGCTCGGCTGAGTTCTGCACCGCTCAGCCAGGCCACCACGCGGGGCCCAAACAGTCATTTGGGCTCCGTGAGTGAGAGGCAGGAGGGGGAGGAGAAGAGAAAGAGAGAGAGAGGCAGGAGGGGGAGGAGAAGAGAAAGAGAGAGTGAGAGGCAGGAGGAGGAGGAGAAGAGAAAGAGAGCGAGGCAGGACGGGGAGGAGAAGAGAAAGAAAGAGTGAGGCAGGAGGGGGAGGAGACTTAAATACAAATGAAAATATTTAATTATTAATGCAGGATTTTGTTTAAGAATGACTTACAATATAAATTAAAATAAAAATTATCCAACTAAATTAAGTCTATCAAATTGACTCAATTCACATTTAACATGAAAATAGCCTGCAATTTGCTCATTTGACGCCTTTTTTCTATTTTTTCTCCAAAGGGGGGCCCCGTGAAATTGTGCTGCCCTGGGCCCCGCAAGACTCTCATCTGCTCCTGCTTTCCAGTTCAGCACAGTAGTTGCCTAACCGAGCCAGGCACTCTCCTAGACAGTTGCTGTGCTGCACTGGGAAGCATCCAGGAGTGGCTCTGGGGTGTTGTTGCTGGGAAAAAACAGCCAAACATGCCAGGTGGAGCCAGCCCAGCAAAAGGACAGTGCTCCCTGTCCCGAATGGAGAGGGGACAGGGAAATTGTGGGGACCCTGGCCTGGAGGAGTATCATATGGGCAGGTCACATGCCCCTCCTTTAGCCGGTGTTTCCCTTTGATTGCCCCAATGAATGGTCACTCTTGGCAGGTCTGACCATATTTTGGGCCCTGTATCTTCTTTTTTGGTCATTGAATGTACTCATCCATTGAGCAAGGTGGGGGAGGTGAAATATGAAACTTGGGGAACCACATTCTCTTCTCTCTCCACTTCTTGTCCCCAAAACCCAGCACAGAAAAAGCCCCGTCCTAGGTTTTTCTGTTCTCCCAGTCTGACACAAGAACAAGGGGATGTTCAATGAAAATAGGATGGAAAATTCAGAACTGAGACAAGGAAATATGTTCCCACAACATATATAAATAGCCTATAGCACCACTGTGACTGAGACCAAGACTTTAGCAAGATTCAAAAAGAGATTGGGTGTGTATATGGCTAGCAGGAATAGCTAGAGCTCTTATAAGGGATAAAAAATGTGGAAGGGATATTTACACATCATGCTTTAAGATTTAAGTTAATCCCATATATGCCTACTGCAGGGTTCTTACACATTCCTCTGAAGTATCTGGTACTGGCCGCTGTCAGAGACAGGCTACACGATTAGATGGACCTTTGGTCTTAATCCTTACGTGATAGGTTTGATAGAGTAGAGGAGTGGCTGATAGGTGTATGCCTTTCATCAGGATATATAGTGCAGGGGAGGAGAGGGCACAGATACACCTTTAAGTGAGGAATAAGCAATATTCACATGAACTGGCAGGGGTCTTATTCACTATTGCCAAATTTTACAAACTTGGGGGGACAAGTTGAGGCACCTAGCCCAGTATTTTGGCACTTAAATAAGTGGCCTGATTTTCAGAGCTGCTGTGCCCCTGCAGCTAACAGAGATGTTAAGAGACATGTGGGTGCTCAGCACTTCTGAAAGACAGGCCTCTTTTAAGGGGCCTATTTTTAGGGTTCAAATGCCTTGTGCTGACTCTAGGCATAAGCAGGCTAAACAAGTGCATAGGGCCCCAAGCCCCTCTAGGAAGCTCCTTATTAACTATTAGGCTGTGTCTACATTGGCAAGATTTTGCACAAAAGTGACCGCTTTTGCACAAAATCTTGCCACCTGTCTACACTGGCCGCGAGTACTTGCGCAAGAACACTGACATTCTAATGTATAAAATCAGTGCTTCTTGTGCAAATATTCTGATGCGCCTGCTCAGGGATAAGCCCTCATATGCAACTGTTCTTGCGCAAGAGGCCAGTGTAGACAGGCAACATCAATTTCTTGTGCAAGAAAGCCCAATGTTTAAAATGGCCATCGGAGCTTTCTTGTGCAAGAGAGCATCCACACTGGCACGGATGCTTTTGCGCAAAAGCACATCTCTTACGCAAAAGCACATGCCAGTGTAGATGCTCTCTTGTGCAAATACTTTTAACGCAAAACTCTTGCGTTAAAAGTATTTGCGCAAAATCATGCCAGTGTAGACGTAGCCTAAGTGTATGTTGGGACAGGGAAGGAGTATTCCTGCTCACGGTCCCCAATGGGCTAGTGCCAGCACTGTAGATACATACGATCAACTATCTATGTTTGCAAAAGGTGGCCTGTTCCTGCTGTCTAACCAAGACATGGAGATAAGGGAGAGAGACTGGGAGCGGGAGAGAGGAAAAGTGAGAGAGTGTCTGTGTCCAAATGCACAGTTGAAACGATACAATAAAGCTCATACTAAAAAACTGTGCTTATATAAAATATATTTCTCTATTTCTCATGCCTTAATCATGACTGTTACAGTAACTATATATAGAGCCCAGCAATAAAATATGCTTGGCCAATGTACATTGGTCATTTTTGACATGTGCTGTAAAAGGCATGTCATGTGCCACTTTTGTACTTTGCTTTTCATTTTGACAGTCATAATGATTCTAATACGCCTTTTTCTTAGGCTTGCCACATATCAGCAAAGGCTGAAGTGTCTATTAACAGTTTGAATAGGTTTTGTTCTGTTTTGTGTTCACTTAAAATATTCTGAAACACATATTCAAATGAGGATTGTCAATATCTGATCTGCAAGAAAATACAAATTGCATAAATGCATCAGTATAAGTGAGTCATTGATTTCTGGACCCAAAGTTAGATATGCATTTCATTTGATACTTTGGGGATCCACAGACTAGATCAGGGCAGAGAAAGTAGCCCTAAGAGTGACTTAAATCAGCCAACACAGGCTATGTCTACACTACAGAGTTTTTCTGGGATACCAGAGGCAGTGCATTTTTGGGGACAGTACACCCCAGGGTGGCATATTGGCACCTATTTTCCCATCAGACCTTAATTGAATGGGATTCCCCTCTGGAGTACCGGCACCTAAAAGCATTTTTCCTGGGGTGGCTTGGCTCCTGATGGAAGCCCGCTCAGAACACGCGGCTCTTAAAGGGGCTGTGACCGCATTTTGGTCCCTGGCATGGCTTTTTTTGTTTTTTTGCTCAACAACTTTTCTGGGTTTTTCTGCTCAACAACTTTGAGCCTGGAGTACTGGCACCTTTCTTCTTACAAAAAAAGCACTAACCAGAGGTATCTGGGAAAAACTCTGCCGTGTCCAGGGAACATGGTTTGCAATTTGAATACCTTTTTCTGAAAATAACCTGCAGTGTAGACATAGCCTCAGAGTTAGAGATGGAATTCTATAGTCAGCTTTCCCTTTATGCATTGCATATGGAAATGGTTAATTGTATGGTTCACAAGTGCTGTAATATTGAGGCAGCTCAGAGTAGATTAGGGACAGATTTTCAGCTTTAACTCTGTATTATTATTTTAAGCAAAACTTTGAGTCTATTGTAATGTAATGTCTTCTGTCAGCAGTCTTTGTTTTCCCTTCCCAGTATACTAGCTTCAATTCTTTTAAAAAATTGAAAAGCCCCTAGGGATTTAACAGACAAAAAATAATCATAGAAAGGTATATTTATATAAGTTTTAAAATACATTGGGTTTACCCAATAAATGCAGTAGGCCAGTCAGAACTATTCTGGTCTATTGGGTGCATACTTAAGAGCCAATATTTGAAAAACATTTTTGCATTTACCTCATCTTTCTTAATAACCAGTTATGCAAATAGGCTAAAGCTGTTCAAGTTTTCAGTTAACTTCATTTGTTTGCAGTAAAAATTGCATGGGCTAACTTATGCCTAGATTTTATATGGAATTTTAAATATTCAGCTTGCTTCCACTGCTGCACTCGAAATGAAAGTTTAGGAGCCCAATAACGCCTTCTTTTTTGTATTTCAGGAACAGAGAAGATTTGTATCATTTGCATCATTCTCCAAGTATTCATAATGATGCTCTGACCCTAGCTGTGAAGGAATAATACTAGGACATTTTCTGACTCAGAATGGAGAACAGTATCTTTCAAGACATCCAGCAACGAAGGGGTGTTTGACCTCTGATGGATGAAATCTGCTGGAATGGAAGCTAAGCTCTTTGAAGAGGACCAGGTGTCAACTTATTCTGTATATGCCACATGTCTGGGGACTTCAGAGGAGTCAAAAAATGAGAAATACAAAACAAAAGTCGAAGAATATGATTACCAATTTGAGCTCCATAACGTTCTGCTCGAATGTGAACTCAGTTCTTCATCTATAACACAGTCAGTAAGCTACACTGAGACATCCTTGGAACCTAGCAGGGTTACAGGCCATGTTCCTGTTGCTGCTGAGCCTGAGGGAAAGCATCTTTGGGAAGAATTACTGTATTCTTCAGGACACAAATTTAAGGACAGTCCTACACACCTATCCTCACAAGAGGAATTTCCCTTATCATTTCTTCCAAGTGAAAGCTCAGCTGGGAAACCAGCAAAGGTTCAAGATATCAGAGTAATAACACACAAACCAAATGTGATCACCTTTTCTGATTTTGAATATTTATCACCTAGTGCTAATTCTAAACTCCATATTTGTGAGGTCACAGACACAGAGGCTTTCTCTTTTGAAGAGGAGGAGGAAGGTGATGAGGAGGAGGAGGAGAAGAAGAAGATTTTTACAGATCTACCACTGTATAGGGCATTTTGGGGCAGTGGTCTTTACAAAAGGACAGTTCTCCCAGAGAAACAAGATAAATGTGAGCATACCAGAAGTCAGTATGTTGGTCATTTAGATGGCTGCAATGATCACACTGGAAAGAAATTGAATGACTGTGAAAAGGAAGAAAAACAAACGGATTTGGTGGTAAGATGAACTAATTTCTTGTTCTAAACAAGCAAGCTGTACTTTAGCAGCATTACTTCAGAGTGGTTAATGAGGGACTAGTTTTATTACATCTTTATTAGTGGATTACATTGTTATCATTGGTACAGTCAACTAACTGATTACATTTTATTTTCTGGAAACTTACTGTAGAGACTATCAAAAGCTGGGTCTCCATCCCCCTTCGTATAAATGAATCAGGCCTATATTTTACACCTTAGTGCTTAATCTTTAACAGAAAAAGTTATGGGGCAGATTGATACATATATTATGCTCTGGCTGGTTTATGCTGCTTTGGTAACACAAAGCAGCTGTAAACCCACTTTAACTGGCTAGTTTAGAGGCTTTGCCACTGTTTATCACTGTCAGAGTGGTACAAAGCAGCTGGAAAGTACTAATGATATTGGCCCAATATTTTTTTAATTAAAAAATTGTCAAAAATGACATTTACTCCAACTGCCACATAAACATTCTATAAATATATTTTTGAGAGTAAGAAAAACCCACATTTCTAATTGAAAATACGGTAATTACACCTGTAGTGCATCCCATGCTACATATAGTAATTTCCCTTAATAATTTCTCAAAATAACATAACATAAATGGCGTTAAGTCCAGTGTAAAACATTATATCATACATCAACAGCAAACCTCCTTTTTGCATTTCTATTAGTCTGGACTTTAAACTTGTGTCATTTTTCTTGTTTCCTTCTAAGGTGGGCAAATTGGCTTTCTTATTCCCCCCTGATCTAGTCAGGTCATACCCTGTACCAGCTCAATGCTCTGATGCAAAACATATCCAATGGAAACCATTTCCAGAGAGTATTGCCAGCTCTAAGGGCAGACCTTAGTTTGCCTTCTGGAGATTGAATGAACTGTAATTTTCATTTTCCTGATTTTTAAAAAGGTTTTTAAAGAGGATGCAAGCTCTATGGAAGCTGCTTCCCACGCTATTACCGGACATGCATGTAGTTAATATCTTATGTCCTCTTAACTTCCTTTTGCTGGTCCAAAATATATTAAAATTAAAGCAATATTCTTTATCTATTAATCTATTGTGCCATGGATTTTTTTATTTATTTTAAAAAAACTATACAGGGTTAGGACAACTTCAAAAACATACAGTAAGAGGACCCACCAAACCATATTCCAGCAAAAATAGAACAATTACTCATCTTCTCTGGAAATACTAGAATATAAAAGAATTCCATAAATGCTTTCCAAGTGAACTCTTACTAGCTAGGAGAATTAGCAAAGGCTATTTCTTTTATATTTGGTCACAGACTTGGTATGTGGATCCAAACATGTTGAACTCTGGACAAGTTCAGTTCTGAATCAGATGTTGATAGCTTTATCTAGGATGGGTTTCTCCTTCTCTGTGTAAGTGGCAGCCACTCCTTCGCCTTACTATACTTGCTCAGTCTCTCCTGGGGGATTGGCTTAGTTTGGGGCCCAGGCTTTTAGTCAGGCCATGACCACAGTCAGTAAGCTCAGGCCCTCATTCCTCAAGTGTTCAAAACTCTGAGGTTCTACTGTAAAGTAATTTAAAATGTAAATTGATGTTTAAACAATCTGAAAAGTGAAGTGATGAAAGCCCAATCACTTGAGCCACTTAAAATTTGGGAACAACCCTGGAAAATGTGCAACCAAGAACTATCCTACATTGGCAGGGAGATGAACTGTATGATCTCTTGGTTTTGATTATCTGATTTCCATCATTCCCATTCTGGTAGCATATTTAGTAGAATGCTCTCCTCATTATATAATCATTATCAGGTAAGAATAATTAATAAGCATTATAGTACACCGGACAGATTTTAGGATGAGACCATGCTGGTGAGGGTAGTACAGATTAAGGCTGATCAAATTGGTAAGGATCTTATGTGGAAGTTTTCATGTCATTGTTCTACATTTTGCTGACTCCAGCCTGTGTTTTCGTTCTCCTATTTCACAAACACTAAAAGGTCAGCAAATAAAAGAGAGTATGCAGATAAGAAAAAATAAATTCCACAAAAACCCATGATTATAAAACCATATCCTTTGAAGTTGATGATTCTCCAACAGAAATGCATTTATCTCTAACTTTTTGATATGTTAATCAATTAAACATCTCCCATTAAAAACAAGTTAGTCTTCACTTACAGAGTATGGCCTTTGTCAGAAAGTGAACACAGAGGGACCATCAGCAGAGGAGTCAGCATGGGAATATCTAATTCAGTGTAAATTATCAAAATAGTGCAACAACCAGACCTGCACTCATTATAAGGCTGGCATTTAAGAGTCTTATTGCCAAAAGCTTTCCTCTTCTAATTCAGTCCCGCGACAGGCAAAAAAGCAGAGACCGGCCAGAGGACCAGGAGATCAGAGACGCACAGGTTCCATGTCTTGTTCCCTTCTTTTCTCCATTCCTGTTGGAGTGCTGTCTCTTCACACCAACCCATCACATTTAACTTCCACAGTTGTTGAGGGAGAATGGCTACAAAGCCCTGGGGACTGCTTTATGGGAAATAATGTTAACTTTGTTATCCCCTGCCTTTGATTCCTTCTGTACATAGTGAGTGGATGAGATTGGAATAGTAATTGTCTGGGAAAACATGGCAGCAAGATCAGAAAAAGGTGGTTCTGCTGTAGGCTGTTTTGGAGGTGTTGGACCTCTGAGTTCTTCTCCCCTTTTTATGTGCCTCAAGATTTATGGCATTAATGAGTTTCCCTCCTCACTGCCCACTCCACACGGTAGATAAACCTCAGTTCCGGCTCCTTTGGAATGAACAGAAGGAAACTTTGAGTTGAAATTTGTGCCATTTATAGCTCGTAGATGTATTTCCCCTTCGCTTGAGAAAGGACTTGAAGGAAAAATAATTTTGATCATAATACATCACTATTAATAAAACAGTCTGGATTAGCTCACTGGACTTGATTACTTAACATCAGTGTCCGTCCCCGTAATACACGAGGTTCGAAGGGATGCCGGAAAGGATGAGACCACAACTGGGGGTTTCAAAAAGCACAAACTGATTTTATTTTGATGGCGCCAGACAATCATCAGAACAAAAATTAAACAGATTGCCAGACAACACAAAACAATTCCCTGAGGCTTTTCTAAATCACAATAATTCCCAATAACTGCCCAGGGGTTAGGAACAGCTGAATTAACACTGGTATTGTTCATAGGGCTGATTATTTACACAACTTTATACAAGGAAACAGTAAAAACCCTAAACCACAACTATTTATAAACTAAATTAGTAACTTTTTAGCCACTGTCACTTGACAAGCAATAAGGACAACTAAAAAATCAATTAGGATAGGGGTGATGGCAGGGGGGGGGGGGGTTATACCAGTTCTGGAGACAGCAGGAACACAAGTACCGGTCACACGCTCATAAACTGTCTCCACTCGGGTCGACCAACTCAGAGTACGCTCAGTAAGACTCGAGAGCGGGGGGTGCAAGGCGTCTGGGTGATCAGGCCAGGCGTTCACTCGATGCAAATCCCCAGTGAGAGAGGGGCTGCCTGCCTGTTTTATTGCCTGTGAACTTATCACCCCATAGGTTGGTTTTTGCTGCAGTGGGTGGAGTAGCAGGCCTGAGCACAAGTCAGCCCATTGGCTGATCTTTCACTGCAATGGGTGGAGCGAGCAGGGGAAGATTATTAATTTACATGCCCTTATATGGAAAACACTCCACCTCACAGACAGAGCCCCCTGTACCAGCCTTAGAGGTATTACAGGCTATGGCTCCCTGCGACGGGCAGCCATTCCTGATGTTCTGTCTCGGACAATCAGAAGCATGTGGTTTTTAATAGAAATAGACACCAAACCCATTCTGGGTCAGAAATGGCTGAAACGTGAAAATGAATTTAAAAATTAACTCTCACAGGTTTCAGAATTCCACATGTAACCCACACGCCTACTGGGTGTGGTTCATTGTCCCATGTAGTGGCACTTAGACCACTTACAGAGAGAAAGAATGAGTGTGCTCTACAAAGTTAGCTGAGTGCCAGCTGGCTTTTAGCTCAAGTTGTAGACCAGGGGTTAGCAACCATTCCAAAGTGGCATGCCAAGATTTAACCCTCCTGCCTTGGGCCACGCTGCTCTCCTGGGAGGGGCTCTCTCCACCAAACGCCCCACTTGGTCTTCTGCCTTGGACTCCTCTCTGGCTTTTCCTGTGGGGAGAGGAGCAGCGGCGCACACATGCTTCCCCGCAAGCTGGATCCAGCACAGAGCCTCGGGGCTTCCTAGGTCAGCCTGAGATGCCAGACTTTGACCATCAGTGCTCCTGCTTGTGCATACCTCCTTCTTCCCCCCCACGAGCTGTGACTGGCTCCTATCCTGAGGGTTGTGATGAATCCAGAAATGCACCATGAAGATACCGCCGCAGGTGGAGAAAGGGAAGGGGCCAAACTGCTGCGAGAGGCAGCTCAGCTGTTGTACGTCATTTCCACTTCTGCAAGTGGAGATAATACACGTGTAATGTGCGGCGCATGAATGTGCCTAGACTCTTCCCTACCCCCTCCCCTGATCTCAGTCTCATGTGTGTAGGGCACATGCAATGAATGGACTCGCCCTCACAGGAAGCTGGTGCTGGCTCCAGTCTTGCGGTGGGTGCGATTCTGTATTGCAAGCACGGGCTCCCCACTGTAGGTGAGGGGAAGTGAGTGGAAGCCTGTTCATTGCGCGTGATACTGAAAATCATCTTGCATGCAACTTATGGCACACATGCTGGATGTGGTCAACCCATGTTGTAGAAGCTCATGCGCTAAGCTCCAGAGGTCCCAGCTTTGGTTCCGTCTGTCAGCATTACACTCACATCTAGTATGAAGCATGAGGTCACACAAAGAGCATTTCAACTTTTAGTGCAAGACTGCTGTCCTCAATACTGTACCTGTTCCATAAAAGGGTATGGACCATCTTGTGATGTGCAACCTACTGTAGTCATACAGTGGTATGGATTCAAATTTACTTCTTAATGCAGAAGAGATTAG